GGAGCAAATGCTAATCTTGATAAAAATAAACGCACTCGGGCACGTTGGGGCACTGGAAAAAATATTAGGAAGTGATAAAGAAATGTCTTTAAAGTTATTTTACAATAAATTGTGTTGAAGAATTTGATAAAGAATATTTTTAAAATATTTCGGGATTTATAAGACCTTAAATATAAATAAATATTAGGTCTAAGGAATTTATTAATTAATGTTAAAGCATCTTAAGGAATTTTAGGGATATGTAGAATTTTTAATTTTAATAAATTACTTCGCTAACCAATTATTTATTATTATTTTAATAAAATAATACATAAAATAGCGAAATAGGGAAAGGAAAACTGGGACTAAATATTTTCTGAACCAATATTACTTTATTGTTTGCCTTAAAAAATATTTAAAAATATTTATTATATACCTTTCAAAGGCTTTAATATTAATTTAAATATTTATTAATTTTTTCCCCTTACTTTACTTATTTTCCCTCAGTGTAGGGTTTGCTACCAGTGGAGTGCAAAGACGGCATCTCACGTTTTTCGTCGCATTTTCAATTTGCTTGGCATTTGCCTTTTTTTTTGCTGGCCATTGTCAGTCAGAGAGTGCCACCCCCTAGCCCCACCCCGGACTTACCCCTCCTGCCACTGCCACCTAAGTGAATATTAATATTGACTTTGTGTGCTCTCGCTCTCCGCATAGTTCACAAAAGTTTTTCACCTTTGATTGCTCCCCGAGTTTTGCAGCTTCCTCTTCTGCTACTGCTCCTGAACCCTGACCTCACCTCGGATTCTGTCCCCCATGACCCCGACAATTCCCCCGATTGCCATTTGTGGCCTTTAAAGTCAATGGCATGCTCAGCGGTTCTCTTTGCTGGAAAATTTATGTGCAAACTTTATGCGTGGCGCGCAGAGTCCTTCCTCCAGCGTCTCCTCCTGCGCTTTTCCTTGGAAAAACTCGTCGCTATTTCTATTATCAGCATTTGTTGCTCGACTCCGAGCAATTTTTATGGCAGTTAAGTTCAAATGAGGAACGTGGGATAAGAGGATGCCGCACCGCCTCGTTTCGGGTGTCACTGCTCGAGCTCCAGTTTTTCCCGGAAAACAAGCTCACCTGAACCGAAAAAAAAACTGGAAGATATATACAGACTCCAACAATGTCAATATAATTAAATGAAGCTTATAAAACTGAAGAGGAGGTGGAATTTCACGGTGTGTGTGTGTGTGTGTGTCCTGGGAAGCACCTACAACTTTGTTGATTGGATTTTTGGTTTAGCTGCAGTCATAAACCGAATGAATATGGCGGAAGTGCCAGCGAAACAGGAACAGGACAGGGCCTAGAGAGACAAGCCTAAATGAGATGAGAAAATCCGCCAAAGGAAATCCCAGATTATGGCCAGCTTAAAGTTGTAAGCCCAAAAAAGAAAGAGACTTTCTAAGAAGAAAAAGAAGTGTTTATTAAATAACTGAAATATTTTCTTCAAAAGATTGGTATTTTGATAATTTAATAAAATAGGAAAAAATATTTTTCTTAAAATAGTTAATAAATTTAATATTTTTATACCCTTGCAGTGTAAAATAATTTCACTCAGAAGCTTGTATTAAGGTCAAGGAGTCATTTCCGACCCTATAAATCATATATATTCTTTATCAGCATCAAAAAACGAGTCGATCTAGATAAGTTTGGCAGAAAAAAATTTTTTTTAATATTTTAAAAATTTTATAAGGGGTTACATCGTTAAAAATGTGAAAAATTAAAAAAAAATTTGATATCCTAAAATTTAAAATTCAGTTAACAGATTTTTTAACCTAGAAAAAACTAGCACATAAAAGCTTTTAAAATTGAAATTGTTTGACTTTTGACTTGGTTATGAAGTTTTAAGGTTTGGATTTGTCCCAAATTTTACAGCATTTTCAATACATCCTGTCCAATGTGGCTTAGGTTTTGTTTTTCTAATCCTTTGAGCTATTTATTTCCTCTAAAAGATCCTTAAAAGCCTTACTTTCATCTAGGATCTATTGATCTTAAAGATTCTCTGATAGAAATTTCACATAAACCTGAAGCAAAAACAGTTTGTTGTTTGTAATCCTTAACCCACAGTATTTCAGTATACATATTTTCATTAGTTCCAAGCTAAATCACCTATATTTGGAAATAGTATAATCCCCTTTCTTCACTAACGATGGGTTTGTACCCAAGATCAATCACTAAATAAACTATAAAAACTTCTAAAAAACTCTAAACCTCTCAAAAAACTACCATTTCTTCTACCACATCATCTGACTTGTTCCCTTAGTTTGCAAGCCAAGTTCTAGTTGGCTTTCATTTAATTAACCCATTAAAAATCTCTCCCCTTCGATCTCTCCCCACCCCACCCCTGGCTCTGGCACTCAAAAGGGGCAAACATCGAAAAGTGCAGGCCGCAAACTTTCGACTTGTTGGCGGCCTTTGACAAGCCCCCAAAAAGCAGGGCCAACAATCAACTGCTCCAAGTTTGCTTTCAAAATATTTGCCACAATGAAATCATGACTGTGTATGTGTGTGTGTGTGCTGCCCCCTCTTGGCCACTTATAGGCCTCCACACAGAGCCTCCTTTTTGCTTCTCTCTTAATTTTTTTTGAGGGGGTTCAAAGTTGAGTTCGCTTGGCGTGCGAAAGTTTATTAAAAACTTTGTGTGCTTTTTGCAAACAAACACAAACACACACACAAGCACACACACTCCCCCTCAAACGTATATATATATATATATATATATTTATATGTATTTGTGTGAAAAAGGAAGAAAACAACAACTGCCATGTGAAACTTAATAATTCACACGGGAGTGAATTTTTCACAATTTTCACTTTTTTCCAAGGGAAAAGCGGAAAAGCAGAGCGGCCGGGACTTTTTTCACCAATTTTATTGAAGCGTAAAATATGAACCAGAACCACAGGAAACTGGCTATCCCTCTCTTTCTCTCTCTTATTTTCTTTCTCTTTCTCTGTGTGCTTTCCACTCTTTGTTGACATTATGAAACCTCAAAAGTTTGCGTTTTGCTTTTTATTATTTGTTTTACAGCTAGTTAGGGCCATTGTTCGCAGTGTAAGAGGGGTTAAAGGCTTCTCTGTATTAGTGTGCGTGTGTGTGTGTGTGTGCCTTTGTATGCAAATCAAAGCCCAAAAGACAGACACTCGCAAGTGGATTTGAATGGCAGCTGTGGCCCCCTTCTATCCTTGCCTTTCCCTATGTAATTTGTTAATTACTTAATTGAGTGTTGCCGCTGGGCAAATATGTAATTTAAGTCAGCTAAATGCGATTCGGGAAGGGGGTTTTTCCTGGGGAAAGAGAGAGTAATTTCGAATTTGTGGCTGCCCAAAAGTATGCTTCTCTAAAACGGATATGTGAGGTTTTCCTCGTGTTGCACTTTCCTTTTAAATTTAGCCATTGAAATTGAACTAAAGGGGTTTAATTTTTGGTAATAATTAGAAATAACAAAATTTAAATATAATTATTGATTTGTTTTCGTGTTTCTAGATTACTTTATGCCTTAGAATTTCACATCAAACTGAGCGGCTGCCCTTAAATTTAATATAACTAGATCAATTAAAAATAAAAGAGAGTATTTAAAAGTAGAATTAAGCAACATATTTAGAGTTTATATTAAAATAAATATTTTTTAAATATTTTAAACCTTTTCACAGACCTATAAATAAATTTTAAAGATTTATTTTGATTTTTTTAATGGATTGAATTAAACGATTCGATTAATTACATTGAAATGCTTATTTTTAGCATTTTTTCCAGACCTAAAATATTTTATACTTAGGAGTTTTACCTAAGTAGCGAAAAAATATTTAAATTTCCCCCTGCCTTGTTAGTTAAAAATTTTCCAGAATTTTTCCTTGGCTCCTCATGAATATTCAGCTTTTTGCAGAATTCCATTTCTATTTCAACTATTATTCCCTTTGCGGTGAAGCTCATCATGGTCATAACTATTAGACGGTCCGACTGACTGCATTATGCAAAACTTATAAACCATAAAATGCAGCCGACTTGGGCCTAGACCTCCCCCCCTGCCTCTACCCCCCTTGGCCCTGTCTGGGTTAAGTCAGGAACTTTCGAATGCAAAGTTGTCAGCACAAAAAAAGTTAACTCTCTTGCTCTCCCTCTGCATTTCTCCATTTCTCAGCTTCAGTTTTTGGCTCTGTCTGCGTCTCGACTTTTATGAAATATTAGCTACCAACTTATGCACATAAATCTTGCAGTGCCGCCAAAAGTTTTTCCAGAATTCCAAGCGAAAAAAAAAGGGAAATAATATAAGAAAGAATAGGTTTCAGGTTCTTTCTCAAACCCCCCAAAAAAAAGGTGTGAAAAGCTAGAGGCAGTCGTTGAGAGTCCTTTCCAGTAAATTCCCCTTTCAAAAGGCAAAGTATCTTCATTAAAATAAACGCTAATTTGCCAGGAAAGATCTAGAAAGTTGTTAGAATAGAAAGAAGAAATTCTGAGAATTTAATTTGAAGTGAATTCATATTTTTTGCGAGGCTTGATTTAATTATTTATAAGCACTTTATTATCATAAATAATTGGAAATATATTTTTTACAAAGCCACATCCTTAAAATGTTTTTAAAAAAATATAAAGAATGAAAAAATACATCTGCAACCGCAAGGATACACTGCATTTCCGTCTCATTTACATTTTACCTTTAACTGAGTTGCAGTTAAAATTCCACAAATCATGACTCCATTCAATATTTAATTTATTGCATTATTAATTAAAACCCCAACCAATTTATGGATAATTATCAGAGATCTGTGATGCGCAGCAGCTGTTTACTTTGCCATAAAATATATGAATTAATTAACAACGAATTTAAAACTTAAATAAACTGACTTCTTATTCCAATTTCCCAATATTATCCTTGCAGCCTCCGTTTAGTAGCAGCCCAAGGATGTCCAACAGGAATTGGTGGTAACATTTTGGCACCACAAACTGGACAGCAAACAAGCAAGGACTTAAAGGAAGGAGTAAACACATAATGGCTAACCGCACAACAGGCGTTGCCACAAGGAGCAGCAGTAGGCCATGGTCAAGTGGAGCCATTCCGGTGCTGCTCCTGCTCCTGCTGGTGCTCCTCCCGCTGGAGTCCCTGGCCTTCTGCCCCTCGAAGTGCCAGTGCCTGGGCGGGGAGACCAACAGCAGAGCGCTCTGCGTGGATGCCGCTCTAGAGGATGTGCCCATTCAACTGAATCCGGAGACAAAGTACATCAACCTCACTTTAAACAGGATACGTAACCTGGATTACGCCCTGCCCTTCTACGTGAAGCTGGAGATCCTGGATCTCTCCCAGAACATAATCGAAACCTTGGGCTCCAAGAACTTTGAGTACCAGTCGGAGCTGAGGACGCTGAATTTGAGTCGGAATCTGGTCAGTTCCCTGCACAAGCACGCCTTCAAGGGACTGACCAACCTGCTCCTGCTGGACCTCAGCTTCAATAGGATCGAGACAGTGCATCCCACGGCCCTCAGTGATCTGGCCTCGCTGGTGGAGCTGGATCTCACGAATAATAATATTGTCAGCCTGGAGGACAACTCTTTCAAGGGCATGCCCACGCTGGAGGTGCTGGTCTTCCGGAACAATCGATTGCTGGACGTCCCGGCGAGCAATCTCTGGCATTTGCATGCCCTCAAGAGCCTGGATATGTCCGATAATCTGGTGGAATTTGTGCGAAACGATAGCTTCGAGGGGCTCAAGGAGCTATTGGCACTGAGCCTGAGAGGCAATGTGATGAGCGAGCTGGATGTGAGTGCCTTCGAGGGACTCATTTCGCTGAAGCATTTGGATTTGGCGGATAATAATCTAACGGTGAGTTGAAAATCTATTATTATCCTTGGAATATGTAGGTTTTTAAGGGTTTTCCACCCCCCTCCATATTAAATTCAAACCAAGTGTGAACTTTCACCAAAACATTCCAGTTCCAGCCCTTAACCGCAGCAGAACTTGCCTCGGCTGTCTCATAAATTTAGACACTTTGCCAGGACTAAATCCTGTGAGCAACACTTTGCCAAAGCGGATTTCCCGGCCCTGCCTCACCCTGTTCCACTTCGCCTCGTTTAAGTTCGTCCTTCCTGGGTTTTAGCTGCATTTTGCATACGCAAAATTAATAACCATAACTCGTTGTTGCTGTCCGTTCGCACATACTTCCCCCAGCCCAAGCTCTCTCTCTCGCCAGGATACACGCACTCCTTGTCCTTTCTGGCCGGCCATGTCCTTTCTGCTATTTATGCATGCAAACATGTCCGTGCCGCCTGATTTCTGCTGTGGGTGTGGCTCCTGCTCCTGCTCCTGCTTTCTGCACTCTTTGCTTAGGCCCTCGGCCATTTCGCCAGCGTTTTCCCTGGGTTTTTCCCAGAGTTTTCCTGCCTGGTTGCCCGGCAACTGAGCCAGCTTAAAGCAGCTTAAAGTTTACGACCAGACAATTGTGCAAGAAATGTGAGCGAGGTCAAGATAAAGCTGAAACTAAGATGTGGAATCGAAGAAAGGAGGAAGAAAGTCTGCCAAAGATATCGAACTCGAGAGCTTAAATGGCAAAAGAGTTTGGGCTTAGCAGGAAAAGAAAGAAATTTCCGATAAAAAACACAGTCTTACATAAGGGAAAATTGTAGATTTAAAGTCTAGAAATATTTAAAAAGTATGTAAAAAGTATTTAAAGACTTCAAAGAGCTTTAAAAATGAATCAAAGTAAATGAATTCCTGGAGTTAATATGTTTCCAGTTATTATTTCCTCAAATTGAACTTTATTTCAAGCCCCTTTTGGCCTGCGTCTTTAAATTGACCAAAACCAAATCATTAGGACACGGCACAGGTTGGCAGGAGGCTGCAAGGATAATGTCTGGCAAAAGGAGTAAGCAACTAACTTCCAGTTGAGTTGTGCAAATCTCCTGCCCTTCTGTCCCGCTCACAGAGGAGGGGGAATGGGTAAAGTCTCCAGAAATGCGTTTTTATGTAATCACAGACTGGCAGAACACAGAGAGAAAATTAGTGCTGATACTAAGTAACAATTAGGAGTTTATTATCTATAAAAAAATGTTTAAGAGATCTAAAAATTTAGAGAATGTAGTAAAATATATCTTAACGTCCTTTCATTCCCTGAAAGTGGGTTTAAAATATATTTTAAAATAAAGGAATAGCAACTAGCAAGTTAGCTCATAATTTCCAATTTAATTTCTTATCAAAGAGTACCAAAATTTCTTTCACTGCACTTCCTGTACTTGCAACATCAGCAGCCTGTTTATGCAAACTGATGGATGCAATGCAGCCCGAGTCCTGGACTCCAGGCCGAGTGGACTAAGGTTCCTTGTGCCACTGGGATTCCTGTGTATATCTATATACTTATGGTCGTTAGGATGGGTATAAAGTGTGTGTGTGTTGTGTGCGCTGTGTGTGTCCTGTCTGATGGCTAAAATCCCGAGCTTCTAAGCAGGTGCAATGGCAGGCAGTAAAAGCTGGGAAAACCGCGCGTAGTCAACGGCAACAGCAACGGCTGACGCTGCTGAGGAATTTATGGCGCTCGGAATCAGTTCGAAACTACTTAAAATACCTTTTGGCATTTTGTAGTTGAAATATGGTCTCTCCCCCACCCACACCACTTTAACTCCCCCCGCTGGCTGCATCCTCTCAACCTGTTTCGGTATTTTCCAAATGGCATTCTTTTTCCTATTGGACAGATTGTTGTTTTATTATGCAGAGACACAGAAGAGGGGCAGCGAGCGAAGGGATATATATCCCTAGACTCGATCCAGAACCATTTCGGCATGCGGCTAGTGCATGAAATTGTTGTCTGCATCTGCATAGTTTTTCCGGGGGGAAGAGGAAAATGCAGGAAATTGCGAGAGTCTGGAGTCTGGAACATGAGCTCATGAAGCATGCAGGTTCCAAGCTTGAAAATGATTTATGAAGTGTGTTAGGAAGCAGCTTAAATGGAACAGGAAATGTCAATAGGAAAGTAAATATTAGTAAATATTAGAAATAAATATCATAAAAATAATAATTAGAAATATTTTACCAAAATAAAATTGATTTCATCTGTAAGAGAAATATATAAACTATATAGCTTCTCCACTCTTATAATTTCCATTTACGTTTCGCCAAAATAATTTCCCACAATTTCCATTTCACGAATTAAAAGCCAGAATAAATCAAAATAAATGCTGAAAAGCACAATATAAATCAAAATAAATGGTTAAAGTAAATATTTCGCCCAATTGACTGATTATTCTAAATATTGCATATATTTCCAGCATTTTCCACAATGCATTTTCCATTTGCGTCGTCCCAAATGGAAATCCCGAACAAACAAATTCATTTTAGATCGAAATAACTTATGCACAATTTTACATTTTCATAACTCAACAATAATATTTGCTGATGGCGGAGAGGGTGGAAAACAGTTGTTTCGATTTGTACTTATTGTTTCTTTTAGGGGTTGTGCTGTGATTTTGCATTAAGTGCATAAATATACACAAATATTATTGCACTCCCCAAGCTCTCCCTCAGATTAAACAGAATAATTGCAAAAATATTCAAGAGAATACAAAATATATATAAAATCGCATCAAGTTTCATTCGAATTTATTTATTTTGCCATATTTTTTGCATTCAGTTTTCAGTTTTTGTGTTGCATAAATTTTGCGAGCCGCTGCACAAGCTGAGCAAATCGTTTTGCTATAAATTTCCATGAAAATGCTGTATATGTTGTGTGCTTTTCTTTCTGGGAATTTTCACATGTGTGTGAGCCCGGGCGGAACATCAAATTTTGAATGATTAAGAGATGAGAGTGCTGAAAGCCTTGCCAAATAAAATTGTTTACTATGCTTAAAGTGAGCTTAGTTTCCTTTTAAATTGCTTGCTAATTAGCTTTCATTTTCGCATCTTCTCCCATTCATTTTGGTTTGAAGAAAAAAGGAAATTAAATTGCAAAATCAAAGTCAATATAATTTCACTTTCTTTTCCTACACTCTGCTCTCTCCCCCTTCGAGTTCTTTGGGGCCAAAGGAGAGGCAAAGCCTTTTAATTAGTCCAGCTTTCCCTTTGAGTGCAGTGCAAACATGAAAAGCACACCCAACCGCACACACACACACACACACACAGAGAGCAAAAAGAAAAATTGTAAAAGGGGTGCTGGAAAAAGAAAAAAGTGTTGCCATTTGGTTAAACAATTGCCCGGCTTGGCCTACATTGCGTATGCGTAATGCCTTTTAATTTTCAACCATTTTCACTGCCTTATGAGCTTTCACACACACACAAAGCTAGTCCCTTCTTCCTTGTTATACTCCCCCCAAATTTCCTTTATTTTTCCCCACCGCTTTCCTTGAGTTTTTCCCCCCCGCTAACCCAAAAGTTCATTACGTTATCGCGGAGTGTGTTCGTGTCCGGGCGCCTGGCACGTAGCTTCCGCCGACACGCTAAGGGAGAGTGGGAAAGCGAAGAAAGGGTGGAAAGGGTGGAAAGGGGGAGGGAAGGTGAACACAACTGGCAGCCAAAATTACAGCCAAAAGCTTTTGACCCGCTCTGTGGGAGGGGAAAAGGGAGCCTTTTCTTTTATGCATGCCACACTCTCCTCGAAGCTGTCTCAGTAGTTGTAACAAATTCGTTGCAAGATTGATTTTATTGCCCAAAAAAAAATGAAAAAAAAAACTAAGGAAACGACTATGAAATACTCATTAATTGTTTCATGTAAGATACCTTCAAGGTCTTGAAAAAAACACAACAAACTATAAAACATAATCAAGAAAGAAATTAAGTAGAAATGTTCCTTTTTTTCTAGTTTTAAATAGGTTCACACACGTAACAATATACCCTCTCCCTTAAAAAAGTCCAGGGTACCACAACTAGAGACGAATTTGTTGGCCGGCAGAGTGATTGAACACAAAAAGGGAGCAAAAACGGAAGTACATGACGCGCGTTTCCGTTTCCGCTGCAGTCGCTTAAACAACGCTTTCGTATTGATTGTTCGGCTTGTTTTCCGGTTTCCTTTTATTTTTTTTTTTATGCTGTTCTTTCTAGCACTATTTAGTGTTCCCTTTTTTTGTGTTTGGGGTGAAGGACAAGCGCCCTTTCTGTACAACAAACCGCAAAACGTTTTTAAAGTTGAGTGGCCAGCATTAATATTTGATTGGATCCAGAAGGGCAAAAGTTTGCACTCCAAATAAAACGTTCTCCGTTCTCATTCTCACTCCCCATTTTTATTCTCTATCTATTGCAGATGGTGCCCACCCAGCAGTTGTCGAAACTTTCGAATCTCACCTACTTGAACCTGGGTGGAAATCGCTTCTCCCAGCTGCCCGCCGTCGCCTTCCTCAACTTGTTTCATTTGCGCGAATTGCATTTGAGTCGGCTTGACTATTTGCAGCGCATCGATTCGAGGTAAGTTCTTAGCCCCAAATAAGTTTTTCACCCAAAAGCAACTCTCTCTCTCATGGTGATCTTCTAAAAAGTGGGAACTGGGTCAGATGAAAACGAAACTATTTGTTTTCCAAGGAGCTAACAATAAACAAGCCCAGTTTACCAGCCATTGGGATTTGGAAAAACTTAGAGAGCAAACATTTTGGAGATGTGTTTCGAGGGCTTAAAGTCAACTCCAAGCTGGCTTAAGCCTGTAATTATCTTGTTTAGGATTTAAATGTTTACTAAATGCTTTCCATTTGCACTTTCCCTCTTGGCAAATGAATCATTAAACATTCTTAGGAAACTCTGAACAATTTGCTAAGAAGACGTACTCCCTTTGGAGTTTCAGACTAATCAAACCATTCACTTTCACACACTTGCACGTGACCTACACGCCCATTGAAGGCATTAGAAATTCACCCAAAGACAGGGACACTGGGAGAAAATTAGTAACACTTCTTAGAAATGTAATAAATCTTTATAGAAATATTAAAAAATAATTGAAAGAGGTTTAATGTATTTTTTTTTTTTCAATGAAATCTTCATCTGTTCCGAATGGAAATTGTACCCTTTTTCATGGTAATACATTTCCTATTCAATTCTAATTTTATTACCATTTATTTCTCTCTGTGTACCCATACAACAATCAAGCAAATTTCCCTTTAGCTTCCAAACTAAGCGGCAGACAAATCATTATTCCTCAATGCAATCAATCATGCCTAATACGCTTTTGGTAATAAGATGCCGCCACACACACACCCACACACACCCACACACAGAGACCCCGGGGGAGGTGGTGAGGGGGAAAATGGGAAATGCTTGAGCTCAACTCGACCATATGTTAATTCAATAATTCCAGGCAATTTTCATATCAAATCAATGAACGAGGCGAGTCGATGCGAGACGAGACGAGGACTACTGCCACTCTGCCTCTGCCATGTCAATCAACCGCCGACAAGGGAGGTTCAGCAGCAGCCACAAGCCACGCCCCCTTTTACAGGGGGGCGACATGCCGCTTTACAATGACATTAACATGACTTACATGACAAGCGTCGAAGGAAGAGAGTGACTGAGACTGAGACCGAGGCCGAGGCCGAGCATCATATGCCATTTAAATGAGTTTAATTTGGAATTTTCGTTTGATTTTGTTCAGGCCAAGTTTAGGGTTTATCCACCATCCCCTACACCCACCCCTGGAGTGTGCCTTTGTAATTGCTTTTGCCTTTTGTTTGGTCTCTGTCTCAGAGTCTGTCTCAGCCTTGTGTAAACTTTTATCCTCCTCCCAAAACATTGTTCGCAGACTGTTGAAATTGTTGCTCAATCTGCACACATTCGGGGGAGAATATATATATTATATAGTATGTGTACAGTAGTGAGTTTGTCTGCGTTGACTGATTTGCAAACTAAATTCAATGTTTGTCTTGACTTGAGATGGGAAAAGAGATCTGGCCGCCTTATGCTAATTTTGTGGAATTTCAAGTTTTGCATTCGTAAGAAGAAATATTATTGTATCTTGGGGCTAGAAATAAACTTAAGGCCTTACAACTATCAAAAGGATTTTTAGGAATTTGCTGGGAGTCGTAAAAAATTTAAATATTTATGGCATTTTTGGTTTTGAAAATATATAAATACTTCAATTTAAATTATTTAATATTTTACTTTCTGTTTACCCTTGCATCTCTCTCTTAAATTTCTTTAAAGTTCCCATAACTATATGTTCTTAATTTTCCCCAGCTGCCAATAATCTTGAATATTTAAAATTCTCCTCTCCTCAAGTCCAACATCCTGGTGGTTGTCTTTTCTCTTACTTTTTGTTTACAGGAAATTATGTGCATATATATTTTCTTGTTTTTTTTCGGGGAATCATACGAACTTGATGTAAAATTCATTTGCCCAAAAGGGAGCAACCAACCAACGCACAGCAAAATATTAAAAGGGTTGCCAAAACAAATTGTTACCTTGCCACATATAAGGGCTGCCTCCCCAACAGGTTTTCCTTGAAGGAAATAGCGAAACAGCGAACTATTTTAAAGTTAAGGGGGGGAGGACAGACATGTAAATATTTATGCAAATGCGTTAATGGAAATCTGAAATCTGTGCAGGAGGTTGGGGAAAAGGACAAGCCAGGAGCGAGTGAGCACCGATGGCGACACGTTGATAGTCAAGTTTATGGGGCGACAGGATACATTTCCCGTGCGTGTGTGGTGCTGCTGCTGCTGCTCATTATGGAAACCTTACACCTAAACAATCAGCGCCAGCGAGTCCTTGGCAAAATTCATTAGGCGGCAGCACGTCCTTCATGCATCCTCCCAACCCTGCTCCCCCACGAAAAACAAACAACCCTTCGAATTCGAGGGGAATTATTCGTGGACAGGTGGAGTTTCGTTTCAGAATTTCAAAGGGAATACCAAGTGAACATGACTTAATACGAGCCAAGGCAGAAAGTCAAAGCTCGGTAGGTGTTGGCCGTGTGGCTTTCGAAATTGAAACTAATTGTTTTAAAATTTATGCGGGGCTCCCAAAATGTGTGACATTTGTTTTTGCGGCAGTCCAGCCCTTTGGGGTTGCTCCCTGAAATATTCGGGTGGGAAAGGGTACCCTTTCCTCTGAATTCTGATGAGGATGGATGCCGGTTGTTGGATGCGACAATTGGGAATTAAATTCGAGTGTAATGGACTGTGCTTCAGGCTGTAATGGCTTAGAAATGGAGTCATTGTGGTGGAGCAAAGGGTTCCAGGACATGGGCTACAATTTAAGCAGCTGTCCTTTGTTATTACCTTTTGGGATGTGGATTAAATTGAAAGTTTTAGTTAAGCTTTTGCTTGAAGGATAAGGTACTACTTTTGCAATCCTAAATAATTTAGTGTCCAGTTTGTTTTAAATAATTTCCCATTCTTTACTTAGCTACCTGCCCCTCCTAAATATATGTTTTAATTTCCCTTAAGAACATCAATTTAATTTCCAATTTCCTTGCAACTTCCGGCTAATTGCCACTCGTTTTGTTATTCATTTAAAAACAGAAACACTTGAAAATAAAAACACAGAGCTAATGAAGTTGGTTACTCTCTGCCTCACTCCCACCAGGAGCTACTCTCCTCTTCACCTTGAGTTCTTTCATCATTCCCACCTGGCATTGTTGCTGCCTCATTATGCCAAAGTTTAACTTTATTTAAATTCAACTCAAAATTCAAGTGCAGCCAGGGGTTAAGGGTTTAGGGGGGTGGCACATGCATATGCATAAGCAGACAGGCTTAGAGAAGAGGCGGAACCTGGTAAATACGCATAATAGCTACTCGGGTCTTGAGTTGCCACTGCCACTGCCTTGAAAAATAAAACTCATAATTTATGGAAAAATATGGCCAGCAACGGCAACATGTTTATGTTTTCCTGTTTCCGTAATTTCTTCCTGTCTTTTCTTCAGCTTTTTCTGTTGTTTAAATTTTTCTGTTTGCCCACTTTTTAAAGGAGAAGGAAAACTAAGGTCTATGTTCATGTTTACCCCCAGCAGAACTTCTGTTGTTGGCTCATTAAGCTGACATATTTCCTTAATTAGAGAAAAAGGGGAATACAGACAACGAAATGCTGGAAAAATGGCAACTTTTTTAACCCCTCGACTCCTGCAAATGGCAGTCATTCACTTCCCCGACTGATAATCATATTGAAAGTTCAATTTAATGGCCACTTTAAGCGCTCTTGTCCTTTCAATGGGAAACATGGCAAATGTCGTTGCCGGCGAATAAAAACAAGGACTGCGAGGACATGACGCCAAGTGTGTGTGACATAAATGTTGTCATTCGGTGTACGAGCATAATTAGCTCTCCATGTACATATGTATATGTATATGTATACACACATTTTCTATGCATTTGTGACATAATTAGATAACAAATTCATAGAGTGGAAAAAAAGGCTCTGACAAATTGCCATCATTACCTGCCAGAGAGTTGCTTTAACGCTTAACTCTTTTCTATAAATATTTAATGTGTGGACAATGAATGACTATGAAGAGGAATTTACAGGAAAAAACAAGGTTTAAGGATTAAATATTTACAAAATTCATTTAATAAGGGATTTATATTGGGTTAATAAAAATTATAAATACAAGTTTAACGATGGATATAAATTGGTAGCTATATTTCCAGCTTAATAATAATTTTTCTATAAATATTTGCAACCTTTTCTGGTATATATTTAATTAATAATGCTAAAATTCTTTTTTTTTTAAAGAATTTTAAAACTACTTTCCCAGAAATATTCACCTCCCCTTTATGCTCTTGTTAAGTAAACTATAATTATGTGAAATTAAAGGGGCGATAGGGAAGTTGACTTCCTTTCTGCACATTTCTTCACATATTCCATGTCCTTGTTACAACGCCCCCTTGACTAACGTTTGCCTGGCAAATTAAAGGACCTCATAAGGGGCGTATGCGTAATTTAAAAACGTTTAAAATGTCATTAAGAAATTGTGCGACCATATCATTTGATAATATGTCCCTCAGCTGGAAAAAAAATCAGAAAGGTGTACTAACCGACTGTCAAAGGGCTCAATGAACCCTGAGAGAGAGATCCCAGGGCTTAGCCATATTTTGTTGTAGTTAAAAACGTCAATCAATTGAATAGAGAGCAAAAGGATTTGCGGCAGAGTGTGGATAGGGAGCTAGGGAGCCAGGGAGACCGATGAGGATTGACTGCCATTCAAAACTATATCAAAAAGCGACTGACAAACTGTTTGACAGACTGACTGATTGACTGTCCAGACAGCCTGACTGAGTTGGGAAACCTACCCCACCACCCGATGATGTGAGTGAACTCTGACGCTCTTTCTGTGTGTAAAGTCCCAAAGTCCTGGGAATCGTGACTGAAAACCCAGCGAACATGGACAGCAAACATTTCAATCGGATTTCGAGCAATTCCAATTCAGATTCGCTGGCACACACACCACACACACACCCCACACACACAGACAATTTGCATATGAGCCCAAAAAGGAAAAAGAGGCAAAGCGAAACAAGGCAAACATTTATGCGGCGCACAAGGACACGGGGAGAAAATAGTTAAAGGGGAAGGATATTCAAGAAAATAAGATTATTTTGAATTTAAATATGTAATTTTTTAAATTCACCTTTACTTTATTTATTATTTTAAAATTTAAAGAAATAAAATTTATAACATTTCCTACCCTATCTCAAACTCCCCCCCTATTTCCCCCAGTGCACAGCCCCACATACGCACACATGGCAGCCATTTCCGTTTCCGCACGTTTGACGTTGGCAAACGCAGACAAAATAGTCCTGCAACAACAACAAAATAATAAGAAGAAGGATCCCGAAAATAAAAGGAAGCGCGGCGCGGAGGGGAGGGTAGCCAGTCGAAAACATGAAACATGCAAAATGAAGTTTGAATCGCGGGGAGAACAAACCGAAAAACCAAAGCCAAACAGCAAAAAGGTGGGACCAAAGTCCTTCTCCATATTTTCCCCTGTACTTTAGCCTGTTGTCACTGGGTTTTTGTTTTTTTTTTTTTTTAAGGCCCGCCAACAGGTCGATCACAGGTAAATCATCAACCTGTGGAGCTCGTCTAGCCGCCGAAACTTTCTTAGATGTCACGTTTCGCTCCTCCATCGGTTATTTGCATAATATTTGCACAAATAATTGAATTTATTTTTTGCTCCTGTGGCTCCTGTGGCTCCTGTTTGTTGTTCGGTCTACCCGCTAAATTGTTTTGGGTAAATTTTCGGCTTATGTCGTATGCAGACCGAGTTTGTTTTGGTAATGCAAAGTCCCATTTTTTGTAGGTTGAACAAACCGTTTGCGCCTGCAATTGAGGCTTTTTTCGCCAAGTTTTTTCCACGTAGTTAAGTTAAATGTTAAACTTGCCATGAAATTGAATGTTCGAAAGGTGGAAAGATAGTTGCTGGGAGTGGAGTTCAGCTTGAGTGTAGGTAAATATTGAGGATGGAGTGGGGTTGTGTGGGCACAAGATTAGTGTGTCTGGCTGGGACAGTGTCTGAAAGGTATCAGGGGGGCTTAGGGGGATTTTTAAGGGTTTTCTTGGATGCTTTAATATAAAATGTTTTGGTTTTTGTTCTATGTTTAAGATAAATACAGCTTTTTGAATTTTTGGAAAGCTTAAAAATGTTTTTTAATTGTCTTATTAAAATTACAGGGGCAGTTTTAGATAGATTTTAAAATTTAAAAATATTTTTGGGCGAATCAAAGTTTTAAAAATGTCATAACTCGGTCAAAAAAGCTCTAATTTCAGTTTGGTTTGCTTTCTTAAGCTAGTTTTTATTAGATTAATAAATCTGCGTACTAAATTTAAGAATAAAAAAAATTCAAATTTTGGGCAATTTTTGAAAATTTTAATGATGTAACCCCTTATCAAATTTTCAAATTTCGAATAAAATCTCAAAAATTTTTTTTTCTTCCGGAAAAGGCTAGAAAGATGCGCCTGTTAAAGCTGATCAAGAATATATATGGTTTATAGGGTCGGAAATGACTACTTGACAAAATAAAATTATAATTTCCTTTAAAAAGACCAAAAATATTTGAATATTTAGAATAGATATTTATCAATTTTTATATGATATACTTTTGACTAAAACAAAGTTTGAAAATTTATTGTTGTTAAAAGAATCATTTTAAATACATTTAAACTATTTTAAAATGTTAAATAAGTTTGTTTAATTTTACCCAACGAAAGTCCCAAAAAACTATGTATTTCGTGGGCCATCAGTCAACTTAATGAATTTCCCCCTCTCCCTGAAGTGCTGACAAACAATTTTCGAGCTCATTGGCACAGTCTCTGCCATTTGAATTCATCACAAGTGGCTGGCACAGTCGACTGGGTACGCAGCAAACTTATGGCCTCGAAGGAACCGAGCAAAATGCAGCCACTTATCAAATCAATGCGGGAATCCTGGGATCCTTGGGAGCAACTGCAACTGCTGCTGCTGCTGCTGCTGCAACTTGCAGCTTGTGCAATAAATGCGTTCATTTAACATGAAATGCTGGAGACGAGTCTCTGGGTATTGAAATGAAATGTTGGCTGCTGCTTGCAGGACGCTTAAAAGCGACAAATTCGCTTTGTGTCAGCGGAGTAAGTCAAGACGGCGTAGCTCGCTCAATGTTGCTCATACGCCACGTTGCACTTATTTCTTGGGGGGAACGAATACTGTCTGCTCTGAAAATAGGGATCTGGTATAGGGTCTGGGGTCTTAGGTATCGGGGTAATGCACTGCACACACACACATCCTGCTTCCTACTGCATCCTTTTCTCCAAGTCAGCGACTTAGCGCGTTGACTTAACTTGGCAGGGATTTACGACAACGCTCCACGGAGCTCGAATAACACGGAGCCTTGTCAGCTTCCTCCCTACATCCTTCTTTCCATTCATTCGGGCTCCTGCTGCTGCTCCCGCTCGTCCTCCCCCTTTTATTAAGTTGAAATAGACGCAGGCTAAATAAATCCATGTCGCTTAAGTCGAAGCTGACGCTGTCATGTGTGTGTTTTCCCCGGGAAATCTGCTGAATGTATGTATGTTATTCATGTATTTCATTGCCCTGGCATTTAAGTTGAACGCCGATGCATCGTACAGTGTGCATAATTAAAGCGAACACAGAGCAGCTGCAGTTGCATAAAAATAATAAAAAGCCAGGACGAATGAGTGTTCGGCTAATTAGAGGCAGACACTGGGGAAAAGTTTCAAGGAAAATTGTAGGAAAATAGCTGGTTATGTAGAGTCAAAGGATTTAACTATTAATATAACTGATAGTTTCTATAAATTTACAATATATATCCTTGCTTCCACTTATAAATCCCCTTTTTCTCTATCCCTTCCAGAGCCTTTGTGGACAACACACACCTGCAGACGCTGCACCTGAACAACAACCCCCAGCTGAGCGACATACCCATGCGCCTATTCCAGGGCAATCCCAATATCCTGGAGGTCTACATGCAAAGCAACAGCCTGCAGACCCTGTACTCTGCCCAGTTCCCGGTGGATCAGCTGCAGAAGCTATATCTTGGCGATAATCCCCTGCAGTGCAATTGCTCGCTGCTGTGGCTCTGGCGGCTGGTAACTGGGAATTTCGAGGGAGTGGATCCTGCCCTAGAGCATGCTGCCGGAGGAGCAGTAGCTGCCCTGGCCAAGGAGGCGGACGGAGAGGAGGATGAGCAGGCGGATGAGGCCTCCACGGACGATGGAGTGGCTGCCTTAGCTGCCTATATAGCGGAACAGCATATAGTCAATGCCTTGCACACCACCGAACCGAGTGCCTATGAGCTGGCCACCTCCTCCTCGAACCGGAACTCGGGCATCCTGCGCATGGATCGCCAGCAGATCGGTTGTGATATCTGGCGGGATAAGCTGAGAACCCGCCGGCAGTTGCTGACCATGAGCGAGGGTGAGATCACCTGTCCGGCGCACATTGTGACCGTGGTGTGTGCCGTGATCACCTGCCTGCTGGTTACCATGATCGGAGTGAGTGTCCTGTACTACCTGCGCTTTGTGAAGCGCCGCAGGAAGCTCCTCCACGAAAGGGGTCCTCTGAGGACCAGCAAGAGCATCATCAATGTCCACGATCGCATCCTGCAGAACCATAATCCCGGCATGGGCCTGGGCATGAGCATGACTCTGGGCGGGAGTAACCATGGCAATAACCTGGGCATGTCCCTGAACTATCCGCATCATGCTCAGACCCTGCAGGCCCATCATCACTACCACCCGGCGGCCATGCCGCTCCAGTCTCACCTGGGCAATGGCCATGAGTACCAGCAGGCCACCATGCCGCAGCTGGATAAATCGGATCTGGAGCGGTATATCAAGGCTCAGACCATAGTCAATGACTACCGGGCCCTCAACCACTGGGAACTGCCCGTCAAGGAGGCCGACGATGAGCCGGAGCATCTGTACGAGCGCTTCGATCACTACGAATACCCGGACACGCACACAATGACGAAGCTGAAACAGGCGGCGGCCCTGAATCACTCCTCCGCAGCATCCTCGGCAGGACCATCGCCAGTGCCACCAGCGGCGGGAAAACCACATGTGGTCTACGTATGACGTGGACGCAAGGGTTCCCACATGGAGACGGAGACGGAGATGGAAATGGTGGGACTGAACTACAACCACCATAACCACCACCACAACAATAACAACAACTATCGGGGCTGTGTTCAGAGCACCAAGGCCAGCAGCGGTCAGTTCTGAGTTGGGAAAGTAAAGAAATAGAAGAGGGGGTTTAATTCAAGGAAAAACACACACAAACAGGGAAAGTGAGAGGTTAGATTAAGGCGAGAGATTAAGGGAGGAAGGATATGAGAGAGAGTATTTAGCAGGAGAATTTTTATTGAGATTTTTGGGCATTTTCATGTTTTTTATGTTTTTTTTATATTTTTAATCTTGATTATTTCCTAAAATATATTTTAAATATTTTCCATGTCAGAAATGTGCCTAAAATTATGGTTTAAAAATGCCTTAAGCATATTTTTAAAGAGGTTAAATTATTCAAGATTTTTCTATGATTTTAATGTAATCAAAAACCCACAGAAAACTAAACAAATATTTAAATTAAAATTCGTTAAGTCACTAGTTTTTTTCAGAGATTTTCTGCTAAATACTTTCTCCATCCCAGATTGACTTAGTTTTTTTTTATCTACTACAGAGACAGAGGTAACTCGCAACAAAGTTTAACAAGCGTCAAATGAAACAAGGGATATGTCTACGTGTATAGCAAGCATACAAATACTCTTAATGACCTACGGATAGCAGATAGCAGATAGCAGATACAGATACCGGATATATTAGATATGTATACTAACCGCTAGTTTAAGACCGAATACGATTTCAAAGAAACACTAAGCTAACTGCATTCACATCTCACTCTACTACTTCTCTCCCCAGAAACTCATAGTTAAAGTGGCATTTAGCATTCGAATACTCTAGATAGCGTCTAGTGGTTAAGCAACTTACAAGTGAATTTAAATATATATATAAACGGATATATATTAGCTGTAACGAAGAGGTAAAAGTAATTTTGATTTCTGCTGAATATGTGGAGGTTCTTTGGAGCGACACCGACTTTGGCAGGCAAAATAACGTACGAAATGGGGACCAAATAGTCCAGTCCAGTCCAGAGCCTAGAACTAACTGAATGAAAATGAATCCAAACTGCCAAAGGGATACGGGGGTCCTTTTGAAGATCATACACCACAGCCTCTCATGTTCCCACGTTTCCTACAAATTCAGCGGCAAAAACATCTCTCAAAGGACAATATAAGCGACAAGTTTAGGCGGAAAAACTAAAATTAAAATTAAAACTAAATTAAACACTTACCCTAACATTATCTTAGTGAGCCAGAACTCAAAGTTGAGCCAATAATTAATATAATTTGTATATAAATGAAGCACTCGGTCGAGTGTCTGTACGATTACTGTAAATAATTTATGTACGGCAGAGTGCATTTGGAAAAACATTAGTCAAATGCATCGGCGGATATTGGTTTAAGCATAAATGATTTCCCAAAAAGCAATAATTCTGAATCAAAGCTCTCGTTTGTTGATATTTTTCGGTTTCGGGCTTTCATTTGCAAATAATAATGTAATTAAATGCGACAACACACCACAAAAACACACACGAAATGCTAGTGTAAAAAATATATTTCTAAAATGCAAAACATGAAAAAAGGAAGCGTAAAGCGTGTATACTAAATAAGCAAAATCAAAAGGCAGACGGCAAATGCACAAAATGCATTTAGAAAAACCCACAGAAAAATCTCTGAATATAGAAAAACCAGTTTGTGTATAAAAAAACAAGAAGAGCATAGAGCAGAGAGCGAAGAGCCAGCAGGCAAGCGTAAGTTTAAATATTAATAATAAAATATACGCAAAAATATTTAATTAAATGATAGACACACCCACAGCAACCACAAAATGTTATTTCTTATACGAAGACTGAAGGAAACGATGAAGCGAAATAAAAAGAAACAAGAAATTAAAAACAAACCCAAAGACTTTTACTCAAAAAGGGGAAATTTGCAAGCTGCTTGTAATAAATCCAGGATTTGGATCTTAGATGAACTCCACTTTGTGGCAGGTCCTTTTCCTTTGTTTTGTTTATTTTTTTGTTCTGCTGCTTGCGGCTTTATTTGTGGCATAAAATACGACAAATCTGCCGGGCAGAGAAATCCATGTAAAACAAATAAAATACTTGTGTATCCTTGCACTAGCCGGGGAGCTGCACAAGAAAGGGCATAAATCTAGTGCCGAAACAAGCCAACACTCCCACATAAGTAAGCCTAAAGGACAAAGGAGCAAAAACCCCGCCGAGAGGGTGCCAGAGTGGGTCAAGAGGGTGTGGCGCAAAAATGTGGCTCAGTAAACCAAAGTAAGTAAAATATTTACTGCCCAGTCAATTGTGCTGAATTGTTGGTTTTGCCAAGCAGGAGCTGTTAAATCCTGTTGAATAGATACAATTTAAGGCGCCACTGGGGATAAAACCGTAGCTTAAATTGGTAGATTTAGTCCTAAAAGCAACTCCACTGTTTTTATACCCTTGCAGGGTATTATAATTTCAGTCAGAAGTTTGCAACGCAGTGAAGGAGACGTTTCCGACCCAAATTTGGCAGTTAAATTCACATTCAAATTTGGCAGCTAAATTCAAATTCAAATGTAGAATTTTTTACAATTTTTTTATATATTTTAACTGCCAAATTTGAATTTGAATTTAACTGCCAAATTTAAATTTGAATTTAACTGCCAAAATTTGAATTTGAATTTAACGACGATCAGTTTCAGTGTGACCAGGTGCAGTTGTAAAATAACACCTAAATTTGGATTCAAATGGTTCGAAACTTGGACTCAGTTTCAGTGTGACCAGGTGCATTTAAGCAACATTTTAGCCAAAAAAATTACAATATGGTCACATCTGGTTTGAGTCTTCGCTTACTCCAAGATCAATGGTTCGAAACTTGGACTTTTTATAACAGTTTATACCAGTTTTCAGTTGCTTGCTGCTGATTTCTGTTCGCCTGTTACCCCAATTTGGGAAACAGGCAATTTGCATGGAAATGTTCGGAAATTTGGATTGGCTGCTGTAGGGATGTTGTTGTAAAAAGGTTGTTGTTGCCATCAAGCTGTTGTTGTCGTCAACAAATAGGTATAAGTGCATAAAATGAAATATAACAGTTTATACCAATTATTATTTTTGCCCAAAAGTTTTTATAACAGTTTATACCAGTTTTCAGTTGCTTGCTGCTGGTTTCTGTTCGCCTGTTACCCCAGTTTGAAAAGCGGCCAATTTGAATGAAAAGTTTTGCTCACTTGCATCAGTGATGCTCATCTGCATCAGTGATGCTCTATTGGGACAAAATGCATCTCTAACTGCCAGTGATGCTCATCTAGCTATTTTGCATTATTGGGACAAAATGGAAACTCACTAACTGCCAGTGATGCTCATCTAGCTATTTTGCATTATTGGGACAAAATGGCATCTCACTAACTGCCAGTGATGCTCATCTAGCTATTTTGCATTATTGGGACAAAATGGCATCTCACTAACTGCCAGTGATGCTCATCTAGCTATTTTGCATTATTGGGACAAAATGGCATCTCACTAACTGCCAGTGATGCTCATCTAGCTATTTTATTATTGGGACAAAATGGCATCTCACTAACTGCCAGTGATGCTCATCTAGCTATTTTGCATTATTGGGACAAAAAGGCATCTCACCAACTGCCAGTGATGCTCATCTAGCTATTTTGCATTATTGGGACAAAATGGCATCTCACTAACTGCCAGTGATGCTCATCGAGCTATTTTGCATTATTGGGACAAAATGGCATCTCACTAACTGCCAGTGATGCTCATCTAGCTATTTTGCATTATTGGGACAAAAAGGCATCTCACTAACTGCCAGTGATGCTCATCTAGCTATTTTGCATTATTGGGACAAAATGGCATCTCACTAACTGCCAGTGATGTTCATCTAGCTATTTTGCATTATTGGGACAAAAAGGCATCTCACTAACTGCCAGTGATGCTCATCTAGCTTTTTTGCATTATTGGGACAAAATGGAATCTCACTAACTGCCAGTGATGCTCATCTAGCTATTTTGCATTATTGGGACAAAAAGGCATCTCACTAACTGCCAGTGATGCTCATCTAGCTATTTTGCATTATTGGGACAAAATGGCATCTCACTAACTTCCAGTGATGCTCATCTAGTTATTTTGCATTAAAATGCCATCTCACTTACTACCAGTGATGCTCATTTCATTGTTCTTATATAGGAAAAATAAAATAAAACAAAATAATATAAAATAATGTATTTCATTGTTTTTATTTAGGTTCATTAACATAGAATAAAATAAAGTATTTTAAAATTAAAATGTTGCTTGTTGTGTTCGTTGCTGTTGTTGTAAAAGTAGCCGGCAGACCTGACTGGAAGTCCTATTTATGAAAGATTAACATTCCGGATCGAAACTGCCATAATACTTTGACTTTTTGCTTCTGGCTGTGCTCTCTCCCTATCCCTGATTCCTGATCCCTATTCCTCCATTCCCATCCCTTATCCACCATCCTTTTGCGTGTGTCGTTGGTCCTTTCCCTTGGTTCTTGTCCAGGGTGGGTGTCAGGTCTACTGATACTGATGACTAGGAGCGATGGCGATGGCAATGACGATGGAAAGTCTGTAATTGAACAGAGAAAAATAGCAAATTAAAAACTAAAATAGGCATAACTCTGTCAAAAATGCCTTAATTTGCATTCGGAAAGCGGTGTTATGTTAGTTTTTATAAGGTTAACAAATCTGCATACTTAGTTAGAAATTCAAAATTTTATCAAATTTTGAGAATTTTAATGATGTAACCCCTTATAAAATTTTTAAAAAATTGATAAAAAATTTTTTTCCTCCAGACTTAGCCAAAAAGATGCGCCTTTTAATGCTGATCAAGAATATATATGGTTTATGGGGTCGGAAATGACTCCTTCAATGCGTAATGAGCTTCGGACTGGAAATAAAATACCCTGCCAGGGTTTAAAAATTATAGCTTCGTTGTTTTTCAACGTATGTTTATCTACTCTCAGATATAAGCTTTTTTTATTATTCTAGAATTTTGGTATAAATTTTATAAAAGAAGCGATCGGTAAATGTATAAAATATGTAAAGCTGGGAATGTACAACTGAAACTGTCAAACTGTAAACATAATAAGTATAGGTAAATTTTAATGAAACTCTGTTTTTTGAGTGTTTTCAGCATTTAAATCTATAATATAAACATCGAAACCAATCTGCAAGGGTATACAAACTTCGGCGTGCCGAAGTTAGCTTTCTTTCTTGTTTTTTCCTTGCATTCTGCCAAACTAAAGCCTTTCCTGCAGGCAAAACATTTACTAACGTACCTGCAAACACGAGTAAAAAATGTGTAACAACAAAAGCGCACACAGAACGACTGAAGAATTAAGTAAATAAATCTGAATGCTTTCTAAATAATTAACATGCCTGGCAGCGAGAGCTCACTTTCATTTAAAACTGGGTCCCCGTCGGTGCCGTCGCCACTCATTGAGTTGTTCAACTCAACGCGCGGCTTAGACGGCGACAAATCCCCCGTGTCTGCGTTTGAATGATTGTTGGGCATTTGTTGTGGCTATGAAATATGTGAGCAGCCCCCAAGGAAACCACCCCCCTGAACACCATTCCCGAAAAGCCCAGGGAATCAAGGAAACACCTGAGTCTGAGGCTGAGTCTGGCGAGAGTAACCATGGGTAGGCGTGTGAATAATGGGGAGTAATTAATATTTGGACATTATTCTTGGGCACACAAAAAAAGGCAAAGGAAAAGCTCGGTTAATTAGCTGGGGAAAATTCGTGGCGGAAAAACGTACTCATAAGTCATAAAGTGCAGGAAAATCGAAGGATAACGTTGAGTATTCCATTAAATGCAGCTATATAGTCAGAGCTATGGCTACATAGCCATCTGAATAACGATTTCAGTAGCATTTTAATTGCCCCAATTGCCATTAAACAGATACAGAGAGATCCCAGCGATACAAGGACCCAGTGCCTGCGAACATAAAAACTTAATGTCCTGCAATTTGTTAAAAGATGCGCAAACTGCCCAATAAAATAAAGCGAGGGAGAAGTTACTTTAATGCCCAGCCAGCCAGAGACCTAAGTGTGATTGAAAAGATTGCGAAAAATCAGAAGCTCCACTTGAGCTAATTGTTTGCATGCCCGCATCCTGCGACAGCTGTGTCCACACAGGACACTCTGTTTGTTTGTAAATAAACTCATGCACTATGATAAATCAAAGTCACTTAGCGTTGATTTCGATTTGAAATTCACTTACCGCCCCGCCGAATGTCAAAGGAACTGACCAAACAAAGAGCCAGACCAAAGGATCCGAGGACATATCATTTATATCAATTTAAATAACGACCTTTCAATGGCTTCAAACGGAAAATAGACAAAATCCCCGTAAAAAGCTCAACCAGAAATGTGAAAAGTGGAAAGATGTGCACGAGTGAGGAATTTGATGTAAGAAAATTGTAGTAAATTTTAAATAGTTTACAAAGGTTTGTTTTGCATGGAGTATTTTTTTATTTATTCATTTATTTATCTATTTATTTATTTCCTTATCTATTTATTTCTCCTTTAAAAATACTCTCTAGTCTTTCTCGTGACACGCGAGCATCTCCAATCCCTCCGCTTAGATGGATGGTCGGACGAGGCATTGACAGTTGTAAGCCATAAACCACAGAAAATTGGGCATTATATTAGTTAAGATGCTGTCAGGCTGAAAGATATCCCCCTCGTACCCCGTCCAGACCGACTTAAGGGCAAGGGACAGCCCACAGTGCAGACATATCGCTTTCAGCGCTGGGATACAAAAAGGACAGGAGCCATCCGTATTCCGTATCCGGTATCCTGTATCCCGTAGCCGTAGCTTGTCCGGCACTAAAACACCGTTTGACAGGCAACGAAAGCCGGAACAGAGGAAAACCGGTGACCACCAGATAAGCTAAAGCATTCATCTTATACTTAGACTTGGAAAGGAAAAAAAAAACAAAGCGAAGGGCGAAACCAGAAGGGGAAATACTAAAGTTAAACAAAAGTTGGAGGCACATATTAAGGGCTTAAAGTGTAACCAAATACCGAAAGCCAGAACTTATCTTGACAGCCGGACTGTGCACTTAACCAGGTTAGCCTGCAGACAATATATATATATAAACCTATATATCTTGATCAATTTGGGGGCGAAAAGCTGGAAAAAGAAAAACTTAAATCATAGCCCCCAGGTTTTGTTTAGCTTTTTTGTTCTGCCAACCTGGTTACAGTTGCCCCTCTTTCTTTTTTTTCCTGGCTTTGTCTGCGCCACTTTGCTTATCTTGGCCACACTTTTTATTGGTGGCCTTTTATTTGGCATGACACCCCCATATTTTACCAAATAACAGAGCCACAGCCACAGCCAACGATAGAGATAAGTGGCAAGCGGAAGGACATGCGAATTAGTTATGGTTTGAGGGGGAAGGAAAACTCTTTATTGTGCAAAGGGTTCTAGGGAAAGCGAGAGTTACAAAGAAGGGAAGAAGTGAGATTTTAAAATAAGAAAAACAAATAAGGTAACTGTACAAAATGTATTCCAAGAAAATATTACTTTTTATGAGAATTTGTAATATTTTCAAATTTATTTTATTTACATTTCCCTTTCCTCTTTTACATTTGTCACAAAATATAAATGCCTAGACATTTATCACCCACCAATAAATTGCATCTCCAATTTAATAATCCCTTTATGCATATCCTTTTATATTTATATCCCCTTTTTCCACAACGATTTTACAGCTCTATCAAAAATTATCACTGCAATTTTTCAGCAAAAAATCAAAAATTTCATTGCCACCGCAAAAAAAAATCAAATTTCCAGAGAGCTCTCTCCAGTTCCTCACCTTGCTTACCTCTGGTTCATGGAAATTTGGTTACTTTTTTCTCTGATCCTGGGATATTTTCAAACATGACACCTGAGAAACTTTGGCATACAAATATATGAAAATATTTGCACATCAATTTTACTGCTCAACAGGAGGGAGAAATCGAGGCTTCATTGAACTTGCAGCTTCGCATTACACAAAAGAGGGGTGACTGCTCCTGCTCCTGCTGCTCCTGCTATCCCAATCCTCCTGCTATCCCAATCCTCATGAAAACATGTATAAACTGAATCAATTTTTACCGCGATAAACTTCGGCAACGCCACCTTTCTGGCGAGAGCACTGAGGTAACTGCAAAATGTTGTGTAAAATTTGCAAATGCAATAAATAACTCGTTTCGTTGTAGAGAAGGGCTTGCTTTTTAGCTGTTTACACCCCCTTACGGAATCATGTAGCGTTTCCTCTTTTTTATTTTTTTTTTTCCCTTTGGTTTCCGTAGTCCTGTTTAGGATTTTTCCTACCCGCCGAACCCCGCGTCGAAAAACCAAAAGCGCGCCACATGTGCGAGTCTGCCTGTGTAGTTCCTGTGGGTTATTCCTCTTCTGGCTTGGGGCGATTTACCCTTTTGGAGAAGAGTTTCAAGCTTTAAAGAGGAAACTAAATTGGGAATAGATATGTATAACCTTTAATTTACAAGTATTAAAGAAAAGTATTTTCTCGTGAAAGATATTTTCTTTCATTTGAAAACCTTTCTAGGTATTCCTTTTATTTTTAAAAATAAATAAAATATATTTCCTAGAGTATTCAAAACTTCCGTAGTATACAATACCCTTTGCACTTTTCCACCTCCTATTTTTTTTTGTTTTTCGCTTTGCGTGTTTTCTGCGGGGAAAGCATCCCCGAAAGTATGCAAATAATTTCTGTGGCTCCAACTCATATTTGATATTCAGTGTCAGTTTGCTCGGAAGGGTTAGCCGAATTCAAGTTATTGAAATTTGCATGCAACGGGAAAGGGCGGTGCCACAAGGGTGAAAAAAAGGACAAAAAAACGAAGAATTAAGAAGGGGGAACAGCAGGCGTTGTTGAGGCAATTTATAGCACTTGTGTCTGGGGTCTTCTCGGTTATTGTTTCGCCATTTCTGCGATTTTCCGCCCCCAAAGGGCGTAATTGTTTAGCAGTCTTTCGAGCTTTGATTATGTTCCTGCACAGATTTCTCCTCAAATACTTCACACATTCCAGACCCAATTAGGCTTTCGCACACGGGTCGACGCGCCTGCACATCTATCAGGATTTTAGATTTTTCATTCCGGCGCTCAAAAGTTGCCCTGGCAATGCAAAAATCATAGTAAAAAACGCAACGAAAATCCCTGAAAATCGCAAAAAACTACGCTAATAACATTGTCATATGGTTGATGCTCTCTCTGCTATCTCTCCCTTCTTTTTTTTTTGCCACTAAACTTCGCTTATCAAAGTTGAAATTGCAGTTCGGGATTTGGAAAATACAAAAAAAAAAAAAAGAGAACTCCAAATGCGAGGCATTTATGGCGGTTTCTGGGGATTTCATTTGAAACTCTGATACGAGCAATCGGCGTTTTATTTCCCCCGTCGAGTTTCATCATCATCATGGCCACCACTGACCCAGTTCAGACATTTATCACAGCCCACACACACACAGACACAGCGGAGAGATCCTAAGGGTCTAACCCCGGGACAATGAATGAATGTCGTCCTATCATCCTTTCCACCCCCCCTGACTGCTGACTAAGTGGACTTTTATTTCACTATTACCCGGGCCAGCGTGGCGTATACGCAATAAATAGTTTCGCTTGGCTAGGGACTTTTTTGCCTCAAAATTCACATGATAAAGGCCTGGTGCTTTGTCCACTTTAAAATTTAAGGAAGCCAACATTTTGCCGGACTGAATCACAACCTCTTCGAGACATGAATGAATTTCTAAATCCCATAAACCTGACTCTTATCTGAGGGTTCTTCACACACAGAAAACGTCATTGATTTGCCGATGGCGTCATGTGTCATCTTTAAATTTATAATTTCATTTCGAGCAAGCGCCGGCCACATGGAAATTTCAGAAACAGATAAGACTATCTACAAAAAGGCATTGCTTCCGAGTTATTTCAGAAGAGTAGAGTGCTTTCAGTAGACGAGCGACTTTGGAGCAAGCATGATCACCTTGAAGAACCTTATTTTTATGCTTTTGGCAGGGGTAAATTTCATAAATTCAATTTAAAACTTACTTTATTTAATAATTTATATATTTCTTCTTACAGCTCTGTCCCTCTGTGGTTTACTCCGCTGGAGATCAGAGTCGCCATCGCTTGTATTTGCAATCGGATCAGGCCCTAGCAACCATCACCAATCAGCTGGTGGTGCAGGCCATTGAACTGGTGGATAATGTTGTGGAAGATCTTCTGGTTTTGGATTCCCGAAACACCATACTCATGGGTTACCTGGACAACTTCGATGCCTTTACAGCTGTAAATCCCAATAGAACCGAGGAGAAGCTGCGCTCTTTCTATGCTGTCGTTGAGGATTACCTAGACTCCGATACCACAGGGGATCCCTTGAGGTCTTCGAGCATTGAGACCCAGCTGATAGCCCTTTGCCTGCAGCGCAGTGGCTTCGATCGATGGAAGAGAACAGTTCAAACGAGGACAACGCAGCTCCAGAAGTTGATCTATAGGAAGCTGAGGAAGCATTTGGAGACCCTGGACAAGGAGGATCGTTTGGCTGTGGAGTGGCGTTGGCGGAGAATTCTTATCCGTGGTGGACCACGAAGACTGGAGAAGCTGAGGGAGTTTGTCAAATGGCTGGGCAAGATCAGGGATTAGCTGGGATTTAAGATTAGATTTAGACTATAAAGTATAACATTAACTGATAAGAGACATTTTTAATAATTTAATAAAGGAAAATAATTTAAAAATAAAATAAAGAAAATTGTTTCAGCAGGAAAAAGAAGTTGGGAAAAATAACCGAACAGAAATATAATAATAAATAATAATTCCAATGGAAATATCTGAAAGAAAACTTACCTAAATAAGCCTAATACTTAGTTTATTATATTTGCAAATTAACTATGATTTTCCTCAGTGTAAACATGCTTATTTTAATGCCCAGAGAATGAGCTAAAATGACGTGTGAAAGTCATAACAATAAAGATATATATTATTAGCTGGATAATAAAGATAGTAAATTCCATTCAAGTGGAAACAAACCCAAAAATGTATATTTAGAAGTCTCCCAAAAAGTGGGTGTATTTGTTTATACTCCCAGACTTTCCTCTGGCAAATGCAATTTTTTACTTGCACTAATAAAAGCCACCCATCACTCAGATCATGTTTGAGAGCTTTGTTTAATGCACTTCACAGCTGGCGAAAAGTCTTTTCCCGTGTGACGAAGACGGCAATGAAAACTTTTGTCATGCCGAAGGAAACTTGGCTGAAAATTATGAAACTGAATATATGAGACGATGGCGGAGAACAACAGAACACACAGCCATGTGAGAACTAAAACTAAAACTAAAACTGATACTTTTTATGGATGGCAAGTGAAAAATGCAGACAGTTGCAGAACGACTTTGGGTGGAAAAGGATGTGGAGAGGGATTTACAGGGATAAAAGAAAAATGGCAACTGCATTTCCTGTCTGAGAGCTGACAAAGTGCTGAGTGCATTTACGACTTGGACTTGGACGAGCGAGTGTTTTGTGTGTCCTTCGTGTTAGCAAGGAGCAGCAGGAGCTGCCTCCGTTCCGGAATTTATGCACTCGACAGTCTGAAAACTCGAAGGAAAATTCCCTAGTCCTTAGGCATCTCTGCTCTATGCTGCCATCTGATAATCAGGCCGAGCTGTGGCTAATCGGTTTACATTTCTCACACTGCCAGTCTGGCCAACAGGAATCCCTGAACCTACCTCAGTTCTTGGCCAAAGATTTGCCCTGAAGGAAAGGCAAGTTGTCCAGAAATTTAAAGAGATCGTATCGAAACAACTTTGGTATATTTGCCGACACAAAATATGAATAAAATAACTACACTGTGCTATGTTTCCTCCTTGTCGCCGCGACATCGGCGACAACGAATGCACAGGAAGGATTTCATGCAGCCGAACAGGACTAGGAGCATCATAAACACTATGCACAGGAGCGTGATCAGGACGATGATGCCGAATATGAAGAGCAGGCCCCACATTTTCAGCGTAAGCGGTGGTTCCGGCGTCGTCGTTCCCATCAAAAAGGTCCCATTTGCCTGCGACATTGCTGAATTTTGCAAATCTTTTATTTTTATTTTATTTTCTGCTTAAAATTTTGTAGAATTTCAATAATGGAAAATTTTGGAATAAAAAGTCGAAGCCTGCTTGACTTTTCCGGGCTACTTTAAAACCCTTTCAGGCTCAGAGTTAAGAGTTTAACTCTTCTGGGGTTACTCTCCAGACATCAAGTGACTTCTAATGATCTTTCTCGGGGTCTTAAAGAAGAGTGCTCATTAAACAGAGGCACACGCAGTGCTTCCCATTCGAATTGTATATAAAAATTAATGAAATGCATTAACGAAAGCGATTCCAAGGGGGCGTTGGGTTGCTATATAACCCTCGAAAGGGGATCTGGGGACTTGTCCCTGAGCTTCTGAGTGTACGTACCTGCGCTCGTTAGCACACCCACATCCCTTACACACACACACGCACACCCCACATCCCTAGCATATGCAAAAAATAAAATAACACTCGCCTCTCCTCATCATTATCATAATTTGAGTGTGATGTGGCAGTGGAAGCTTTAAAATATTCATGCGAGCAAAAAGATTTTTATTTTTTTTCAAGTGTTTGCACGTGTGCACTGGGGTGTTTACTGTACCAGGAGGAGAGGACTCTGCACTAAAGGGTGGCTGCTGATTATAATGACTGTATTTTGTGTGCTGATTACTCCGCAGAGAAATGTATTTAAGACAATGAGTCAACAACTAAATGTGATGAATGTGAGGTGTATAAATGTGCTTAATTCCTTGAGGTTATCCTAGAAAGTTATTATTATATCTCCAACTAAGTAAGTTCTTTCCGAATTCACAAATCTCTATAAAAGAATCAAATATCACAGCCACAACTTCAATCAAAACACACTCTCCTTAGCTCCTTTCAGGAAATCCTTGTGATATCACCTTCCTGTTGATAAATTCAACCTTTTCTTACGATCCTACCAATCACTGATTGCAATTGTGGGCTATTAGAGACGTTTGTCAGCCAATTCCCAGGCAACATTGAAGGCTCATTCACTTACCTGCCTCGCACCCACACGGCTACACTATCGACACTCTCGAATGCACGGGGACTCACACTCTGGCATTCAGCCAAACACATGCACACCTCCACACACCACACACCTCCTGCCTCCTACTTCCCCCTCATCATGCCACACGTGGCTGCATGTCAAAGTGCAAAGTTTTGTGCCACAAAAAAAATAAAATAAAAAGTGGTAAAGGGTTGGAGGGGAGAGTAGAGGGGAAAGTGGAGTAAATGGCAGTCAAAAGCGCCGCTTGTCGATGTTTTTGAAAAATAAAAAGTCGTGGGGGATAAAAAAATGCTACACGTTTGCCTAGGCAACCCTTTTAGCTCTGTGTGGCAATTTAAACCTACCCAGCTCCAAAGTTGCCCACTTGCCACCGTATCCTGACGCTGTCCTTGTTGTTGTTGCGGTTGCTGTAGTTGCAGCATCCTAGGATGTGGGAGTAGCTCAGCGGGACTCAGAGGGTTAAGGCAGAGGGCTAAATGCGTGGCAGACAACGCGCGAATGCACAAAGTCAACTTGCACAACTTAGAACTCGATGAGGGATGCGATGGAGGTAGAGGCGTCCTAGGGATAGTGGAAAAAATCAGGATAACCTCAGAAAAAAAAAGAGTAAGCCAGGAAAGAAGACAAAATATATTAAATTTCTGTTAAGAATTTATGCGTTTGAGCTGCCCCGGAAATAGAATTTCAGTTACTGTGAGACTTCCTTTTCCAATTTCCCCACCAAAGCGACAAGCATTCCCTGGCCGAATATATATATATATATATATTTGTATCTACCAACCAATCATCATCATCATCAGCGGCATGTTCGTCTTTCCCCATCATCGCCTTCTTTGGCACTCAACGTCGGCAGCGAATTGCAATCGTAAACTTGATTGTAATAGTATAATTTTTGGCGTAAAAGCCAAACAAATAAACAAGCCAGGGACAAGGAATACAGGATAATCCCCCGCACATATGAGCCGGCCCCATTTCCATGCAATTTTTATGACCAGCCTCTATTTTCGCCCTTCTTGGGCGAGAGAATCTCACTCATAATCCGCCCCAATGGACCTTTCTACGCCGGATGGGGCTGCAAAACCATTTACTTTTCCGCAGAAAGAGTATCCTTATATTTTTTTCCCCCTGCTTACCACGTCACGCAGCCTGGGAGAAGTTATTGTTATCCTTTTGTTTTAGTGCCCATCCTGCTGCCCGGGCCCTGCCTTCTTCTTCTTCTTTCGCATTGATTCATAAAACATAAATATAAATATTGCGTATACGCAGCGCTCGCCCTGCCCTCGATTGCCATAAATTCTGATATAACACACACAAGCCATCAATCTTTTACCATTTCACTTAGATAAAGCAAACTTGCGCTCCTTTGGCCGCCAATATTTGTGCATAAATATTAATATTGCATGACCATTTTTATTTGTTTTGCCGGCCAGACAAGGATCACAGCGAAGCTAGGAGTTTCTTTAGGTGAAATCGATAGGGAGCTAAGATTAAACCTTAAGATTTCTAAATAAAAGGGTCAATTAAATAGTTATCCTTCCTAAAGTAAACTCTTATAATTATTCAATACTAATTATACATTTGATTCTGTTTTGTTTTACATTTAAATTCAAGAAACACTACCTTGGGCACCCTTTTAACATTTGAAAAAACAAAACCACGCCGAAATCTGACAATTTGAAATACAAATGAAACTGCGATTAATGAAATATTTCCAAGTCATCTTCATCCAGGCAGCACCACCAACCGCATCCGCAGCAGAAGAAGATCACGCAGAGGGTACAAAAGATCAAGGCGAGCACGGTGATTCCCAGGGCAATATATAATGCTGTATAACTGTGTTCAGGCACTAGAGTTCGATAAACATCCGCTATGCTTTCGGACAATGTGGTCAACAATGTGGTTACATCCTCGTGTTCAGTGAAGCTCTCTCTGTCCATTCTGGCAACTGTGAATTTATTCGATTACTGAATTTTAATAAATAATATTTAAATAAATTTTAACAATATTTCGAGAGGGGAGACATGTAGAACTACTGACACTTTTGACAAAGGTAATGTGTTTGCTAGATTTTCATTAACATATATAAATACGTCTTAAAAAAATATAAAAAATATATAACTAAATGCAATAACCAGTGATATATTAATTACACCGAATATACATTGAATCTGACTAGATTTCGTTTGATTATCTGCCTGCCAACACACAAAATCATTTGAACATTTAGCTGTGAGAACAACTTTAGCCCATAAAATGGCCCTGATTTATGCGGTTAAATAATTAGCGCCTTTTAGGAGCCATTAAATGGTTGCCAAACGGGCCCATCAATCGCTTATTTCCCCATACTATAACCATGTAACCAGGGGCCCGTTTGCCAATAACCCGCCCCCGATGGCAATGGTAATAAATTGAATGGCCCAATATTTGGTAAGGGGCACATTGAATTTAAATATTTGCAATTACATTTAAATGTTTGGTGGATTTCGATTTCGTTTTCGGTTTTGAGGGGAGGGAGGTGTCTGCGGAAATATCCTTGCAGTCGTCGGCGGGTCCTGTCTGTTCGCACATGCCAATAAATTTCGAGGCACAAAGTGTCAACTCTGGGCCGAGCCCTTCCATTTGCATATATATAAATTCCCCTGCACCTTGGTCCCCTTTGGAATCCTCAGTGTATCCTGTAGCCTGCCATATTGGCAGTCCTTTCTTTCCGCTACTTACAACAATATTATAATGGAATCCCACTCGAAAATAGAGCAATATCCACTTGCATATGTTGCCGCGGACATTTCGGGAATGAGACGATGCTATAAATATTATTGAATTGTTCCACGCCCCCTACCCCCCTTCCCTCGTCCTTCTCAAGTGTCCGCCCCTTTTGCAGCAGCAACAACAACAGCAGCAACAGCCAGAGACAATGATTGCGGCAAGCGGATGTAAAAACCTTGGCAATGACAGTTTTTCGGGCTCTGAGCCTGGGTCTACGTCTGTTATGCAAATATCTATACATATAAATATAAGGGACACAGAAAAAATAGGGGATAATTAAAAAAAAATGTAATTACATATTTAAATATGTTTTCAATTATGTTATATCTATAGTTATTCAAAATAAGGAAGTAAAGTCACCATTTAGAAATATTCTTTCTTTAACAGTAAACAAAAATCTACACAAAATCTTCCCTAATCTATAAAAATATTTTAAAAATCCCAAACACTCCCCCAGTTTTTCTCTGTGCACTGCATGAGTATGTGTGTTACTGTTTATATGCAAATCTTTTATTTCGCCGTTGTGCCTCCGTTTCATTTCTTATTTCCGTTGCACGGCCGACGCCGCCGCTGTCGCCGCCGCCGTTGACTTTTTTATTTCTCCTGCATTAAATTAACATCAATAAAATGTTGCCAGACTCCTCCGGACTGGACTCCTTTTCCTGGGTGTCCTTGTGCTGCCATATCCGGTTGTCCTGCTGTTACACTTGTGCGTAATTTGAAGCTAATGCCGACATGTGCTGCGATTTGTTTCACTCCCAAAAAAAAAAACTCCTCCTCAAGTTTTGGGATTTTCCTAGCCTTCCAGATCCACATCCTTGTAGCCAGCTTCATATTACTCATTTTCCTGGCTGCGAAGACATTTGCATTTGACAGTTGGCAGTTTCTTCGAGCTGAAATGACGGTGATTTCGCCGTTGGGCAAAAAGTTTGCCAGGAAAACTGAAAAAGGGAGGGGAAAGTAGGAGCGAAAGGAGTAAACTTGTCTAATTTCTATTTTCTATAACTTTATTTTTGAATTTTCTATTTCCTTTTTAAGAGATTGGAATTTAAAATTTATGTTAGATATTTCCTCAATTTAGGTAAGTAAAAAATGATTTCTAAAATTGTTATCCTTTTTAAATTTTTATACCCTTGCAGTATTATAATTTCAGTCAGAAGTTTGCAACGCAGTGAAGGAGACGTTTCCGGCCCTATAAACCATATATATTCTTGATCAGCATCAACAGGGGAATCTTTCTAGATATGTCAGGAAGAAATCGATTTTTTGGACATTTTTGCAAAATTTTATAAGGTTACATCATTAAAATTTTGGATTTTGATAAAA